TTCACTTGTGAAATGTGGTAAGTTGTATATGGCAACAGGAGGACAACCCAATTTCTGCTTTCGAAATGAAAAAGTTTGTCTTGGTTGGGGTTGGTTGTTTTTTGGGGTCGTCTTAAGCACTTGAGAGGTATCCTGCATTGCTGTTGTTCCTTGGAGGCATCTCACCTGGTGAGACACACGCGTTCACGCGCCTGTGCTGACGGCTCCTCTCGGCCATCCCTCCGGGCAGGGTCGGTGTTTTCGAGGTGGGGGCCAGAGGTCTGTTTGCAAAAATCAAAAACGGAAGAAAAAAACAGGCAGGTAGGTACTTCAGGGTTTCTAAATGCAGGCATCAGTGTGCCGCCTGCGTTGGTTTTTGCAGGCATCCACAGGGACTGTGTGTATCCCTGCCTTTGTCCATCCAGGCTGGCTTTACCTTTGGAAAACTGCGACTGTTCCCAGTACATCATTAACAGTTTCAGGAGCTCCCGCCTGCCTCGCTGGCGGTTGAAATAACGCAGTCATCTGTCAGGAGGCAGGTTCAAAGTAAAGGCAAGAAGGTCCTTCACGCACTGCAGTGTTAGAGGTGGATCCTGCCACCGGACATGAAGGCAATTAACAGTTTGCAGGGATCCAGAAGTGATTAAGCAGATTTGTGACAGAGAAATCCGATGAGCGCTCGTTAAATTGACAAACATCACCTCTTCCTCAAGCCAGAAAGCCCCCGTTTCAGGGATAGCATTGGACCTATTCATAGCGCAGCACAGGTTTCAGCCTTGGAAGCAGGACCCGGCTATATTTGGTGCTGTATTTATACGCAGGCACCCTGCGCATGCATCAGCTGTGCTGTATGGCAGCAAAATCATATTGGCTAGGTAGGTAATCCTAAGTTAGAAGGTAGTTTCACATCCCACCTTGATTCAGCCTCTCACCCAAGAAAAAGAGTCCCGTAATGCAAATTTCTGCGTCGGGGGCGCCGGCAGCTCCCATCTCTTCCCGGTACGGGGGGTCACAGGGCTGGGATGGGAGCTGGCTCCTTAGGGTGCTCGTTGTCAGTTATTATTTTAGCTCATCTCCAAAAGGAGATGTCAGTGCAGTGACAGCAACGGGCAGGACAGGGATATTGGGGAGTTTCAAAGCAGCAAGGTGGAGTTTCTAACTTTGGGGCTTTCTCTGTGCTCAGATTCGCCTGCTGCAAATATCAATAGCCTTGCCATCCCTTAGAGCAGCGAAAGCCTTGTGACGGAAAACATCAGGCATCCTTGAAGCAGCACCTGGGGGAACTAATGAAGCTGTAATGTGATTAGTGCCTGCGACCCCGTACACCACTGCAGCTAGCGTGCTGTGGGGATGTGGCACCCCAAAACCGGGACACATCCTAACCACAGCTGACCCAGGCCAGGGGCAGGGGGGAGGCTTGTTCTGGCAATAAAGGGTGAGACATCCCAGATGTCGGGGAGTGCATGGCAGCAGGTAGGGAGCTGAAGCGGGGGCTCCTATGTTCCGGGAGAGGGTGGAGCGGGGCTTCCGGGGGGTCGCCGGCCCCTCTCCCCCTGCCCAGAGGCAGCTCCAGCTTTCCTCCTCCCGCACCGCCCTCTCCAGATCCCTCTATTTTCCGGTAGATAGGATTAAGCCTGACCTTCCGCCCCGTCTCGGAGAGAGCCAAACCTCTTTCGGATCTAATTATTTTCCATTTTTGTTTAATTGTGCACGTCCTGCTGCTGGCTGAGAAGGAGAGCGGCTCCTGCCCGGGCCGGGGCAGGGAAGGGCACCCGGCCCCTCGCCAGCCACGGGCTTTCAGATCCACGCTCCCTCTTTTGGGGTTGTGGTTTCAAACCCCCAAATCTCTTGGAGGTCTGAGGCAAGTTTCCCAAGAAGCGGCTCTGGCACCATCCTGTGTTTCTCCAGTGACCTTCACACTCAGCCCAGCCCCTGTGCGAGGAAGAGGAGTCTGGCCACGGCCACCTGCCTCCCCCATCCTCCTCCTCCTCCCCTGCACCCAGTTTGCACCAGGCGCTGCTTTTTCTGCATGCATTTTGCTACCTAGATCCTATGTACAAGTGGCACCAACTTCTTTTAGCAGTGCATTGCATGCCTTTTTTTAATGATCTTGCGATTTCTCAGTTTATCTGAGCTGCTGCAAAATCCCACAGCCTCTCCCCGCAGACGGTGCCAGGCTGGGATTTGGCTGTGCCAGCCTGGAAGCGCTGCTGAGTCGCCCCAACAGCAATGATACAATGCGGGGGTGATGAGGGAATGGGTGACATCCCTCTGCAGGAAGAGGGGATAAAATAAGATGGGTTTTCAACCCGCTGGGCAGCTGGCCAAGGAGGGGGAGAGAGAGGGGACAGAGAAATCAGATTAAGCATGACAGGAAGCTTTGCCTGTAGCAGTTACATCTGCATATGGAAAACACGGAGATGCTCTGGTGGACCTTGAGTCCCGCTACGCTCATGTATTTTTTACAACTTCACTTAGGTTGAGCGTTGCTTTTCCAAATCCCGTATTTCGGCACCAAAACAACCTCACAGCATCTCTGCAGGCACAGGAGTGCACCCAGAGTACCAAAACTGGCTTCTGCTGCAAACGGAGCGGTTCCTTCTCCACCGAAGCTGTGCCACGCCGTGTCCCTTGCACCTCTTGGCACAGTGGCACGAGATGGCTCAGGGTGGCCGGGTTGGGAAGCAGCTCTGGAGGAGGGGTGGGTCTGTGGGGAAGTAAATACCGCTGCAGAAAGTTCCAGCGAGAGCCGTCGGCGTTTCCAGCAAGCCATCTAGTGGCTTCCTATTAAAATGGTTGCACGCCTTGAAACTGAGAAGGCGAAGCTGGAGGGGTGAGTGCTGCTGTTCGCCGCAGTTGTGTCAGCGAACCGACGTGCGGGGTTTGGTCCTAATTGGGAAAAGACCCTACTGTAATAGCCCTCTTCTGGGTCACGGGGTGGTGGAAGGGTTGGGTTAGCTGCTGGACGGCAGCGTGGGTCTTCCCAAGAGCAAACCTGATGGGTGATCCTACAGATGGACGTCCAGATCTTCATTTCACTGGTGTGGGTTCAGTTACCCTAGCTCAAAAACACATGAAGGATATAGGGATAATCAATGATTTAGAGCAGCTTCCTTTACAGTATGGACAGGAGACAGCAGACAGGGAGGGAGAACATAAAGTTTTGGGGTTTTTTTAATAACATGAGAACTGAGGGCATTTCGCTTGGTGAAGTTTTGGGCCGTGGGTTTAAAGCAAACAGAAGGAAGTCCTTTTTCACCAGATGGTTCAGTTGTGGCAGCCTTAGGCACAGCCTGCTACAGGGACTGAAAGTTTGAAGGCTTCGTAGAGGGGCTTTGGTAAACACTGGAGGAGAGACTGACCTGGGGCTGGGAAGCGTCAGTCGGGTGGTCTAGGTAGATCCTGAGCTATCCTTGGCTGATGTTTGTATAAGCTGTTAAGAAAAACCTCCGGTGATGGAGATTTTACGACGTCTGTAGGCAATCTCTCCCTGCCCATCACCAGCCCTACTTGCAGGAGGTGGTTTCTTCATGTCCAACCTCATTCACCTTTGCTGCAATTCAAACCTGTTATTACAGTCCCCGGGAGACACGGAGAGCAGCTTGTCCACGCTGGTCTTCACCTCTCAGACAGATGACAGGCTGGCTGGTGCAGTTTTTATGTGCAACGTGGCATTTTGACTGATGTTCGGCCTCTGATGCTTCCTGACCCCAGGCTCTTCCCCGCCTGGTACTGCACAGCGATTTGTTCCCACCTGCATGCAGATGTTTGCACCCACTTAACGCAGCTGGTTTTTTTCTGACTTTTCTCCAGGTCTCAACATCGTTTTGACTTCTAATCCAGTTTTCTGGAGTGCTTTCATTTCTCCTAGCGTGATACGTGTGTATTGAATACATTTATCACATCACCCGTATCACCGATGACATACTGGGTAGTGTCACGGCCGGGACAAGTCTCCTTGCTCAGCACATCCTCCTGGTCTGGCGGTGAATCACCAGTAACGACTCTCTCCGTATGGTTTTCCGATGAGTTGTGTGCCCACATTAGAGTAGTTTCGCCTGAGCGTGTTTCTCTGGTGTGCTGCTGAGGAAGCCATGTGCGGCAGCACCTAATGAATATCAAGATATACGGGCGCTGACTGCTTCTCCAGCTATTCACAGGCCAGTTACTCCGTTGAAGAAGAAAATTAAATTGTTCTTGACAAATCGGTGTCAGCAGTCACTTATCATCTTGTTATCTTCTAAGTGCTTACAAATAGGTTGTTTCATTATTTGTTCCATCAGTTTTCCAGGAGTTCGAGTTAAGTGACCAGTTTGTAATTCCCTGACTTCTCCTTTTGCATATTTTTAAAGCTAAACCCTAGGTTTGCTTTTTTTCTGGCCTTCTAAAACCTCTCCTATCTGCCGTGAGCTAACAGAGGAACAATAGCTCTGCGGCTGCTTCGGCTGAGCCCTTCCCTCAATACCTTTGGGGCAGCTTATCGCGCCAGGCTGGCGGATGGCCCAACACCCTGGTTTGGTTATTGCCCTCCTGCTGGGATCCTTCTTCCCTTCGCCCCCTGTGGCTCTTGCCTGTGTTAGCTCATTTGAATCCTGACCTTTTCCATTTTCCAACCAGTGCTTTTAAAAGGTTAGGTTTATCCACAAAGTGCTTTTGTGTAGTAGTTTGTGTAATCTGCAACGATACGGAAAATTTGGGCCAAATCTTTGGTTAATATCAGGACAATAGCAGCGGAGCTACGTGGCCGTAGAGGTGGGTGTAATTTGGCTTTTTCAGTGATTTTCAGGAGCGTCTGGTAACTCATGGGTGTCCAGTTCGGCACGCCTTGCCGTGACCTTGGTTTTTGGAGAGCGGTGACCCCCCCGGCCTGGGAGATGCTCACGCAGCGGCGTCACGCATGCAGGCATCCCTTTGGCGTGTCCCATTTACCCTGCCAGGGTCTATTTATTTCTTTATTAGCTCTGTTTGCCGATTTCTCAATTACCATCTTTTTTTTTTTTTCCCCCCTATTCCTTCAACAGGAATCATTAACCAATGGCAACAGGAATCCAAGGATAAAGTGATTTCCTTATTGTTAACCCACCTGCCTTTACTGAAGCCCGGAAACATCGAGGCAAAAGTTGAATATATGAAACTCTTGCCTAAAATCCTGGCCCACTCGATCGAACACAACCAACACATCGAGGAGAGCAGGCAGCTGCTGTCCTACGCCTTGATACACCCTGCCACCTCCTTAGAGGACAGGAGCGCCCTGGCCATGTGGCTCAACCACCTGGAGGACCGCACGTCGGGTGGCTTCGGCAGCCAGAGCAGAGGTCGGTCGGATTCGGTGGACTACGGGCAGACGCACTACTATCACCAAAGACAAAACTCCGACGACAAACTCAACGGATGGCAAAACTCTCGAGACTCGGGCATAAGCGTCAGCGCTTCCAGCTGGCAGGACAAAAACCTGGCGTGCGAGAATGGCCATCTGCCCCTCTACTCCTCCTCCTCCGTCCCCACAACCATCAACACCATCGGCACTAGCACAAGCACCAGTAAGTACTCACGGGAAGCTCTGGGGACAACCACCCACGGCCACTCTTCACACACAGTCCCCCCCATCCCGCTAGAAAATATTGCTTTGCCATGGTTAGCAGAGGGACTAGGTTCATCTGGGCCATAGAACACTCTTCTCCCCCGCCCCCCCACCTGCTTTTTTATTTCCTGCCTGCCTTTTTTTTTCTCTAGTCCTGTGGGATTTTAAAGACCTGGCAGCTGGAGAGGAGGGAAAACCAGCCAAGCTATAAAAGCAAAAAATGTGTGTTACCGAAGGGAGCCCCTTTTATTTCATGTAGCTCCATCTAGATTTGCAGTTCACGTTTCAAGAGTTCCTAAAGCAAGCGGGGAGCTGATGCTTCGTGTCCAGAAGTGAGCTGGGAAACTTGAGGCAAGTCCAAAAGTGACCTGGGGACTTACTGGGAGGAAATGGGATTGGGACCCCGGAGCGCAGGCATCGTTTTTGGAAGCAGGGCTGGGATCCACGATCTTCAGGGCATATCTGAAAACGTTCCCTTTAGCCTGCAGCGCATAGAGGTGTGAAGCTGATGGTGATCGGGGGGGTTTAGATGCACAGTCCTCAGTGTTTTCCAGGAGAGTTGGGTAGCTCTTCCCCTGTGGAGGCCCTGCCAGGCTTTGATGGGAGCAGTGGATGATGCAGAGCCCAGCCCAAGGCTTGGACACTCGGAGATGCTGCAGAGCACCGTGGCTGGAGATTTATCACTGGTTTTGTGTGAAGATGTAGTGCAGCTATAACTGTTTTTTAAAGCAGCCGTTGATGCCTGTGAGCCGTCCCTGGGAGAGGAGGAGCAAAGCATCTTCTCAGCAGGGTTCAAGAGCTCCTCTGCCCATCTGCTCCCTCTGCGGAGGGCTGTCACGCCTGCCTTGTCATCTTGGGTGACTGCCACTCTCTCACCTGCAAGGCTGGACGTCCTCCTTTGCTTTGGGGTGTTCAGGAGGTCTCTCTCCAAGATGCTTGGCATCTCCCTAGATGCAGAGAGTGCTTCGGGGAGGAGAGGCTTCTTGCGGCGAGGGCGCTGGCTCCTCTATCAGTGTGCGGAAACCCATAATTAAATAGCTGAAAGCTTTAAAATGGTCACTTAAGGCTTCTGGGTTTTTCCCTCTCCTGTAATCGGTGCTTTTTTTAGGTGGTGTTTCAAATCAATGATGATAAGAAACGCAGCTCTGGGTTTATAGCTGTAGCACCCTGGTCCCTGCCTCTCCAGTGTCCATCCTTGCAGGCAGCGCTGCCTGCTCTGCCACACGGGGATTTAGCAGAAGGGTCTCAGCTTCTCCACCGACTCTGAGCATCGTGCCCATCCTGTCCTCCGTCTTTGAAGCCCTGGCTCCTGCTGCCGTGGGATTGTGTGAGGTTCAGCTTCTCCAAGAGCTGGGTCCCTGCGCTGCGGAGGAGAGCTGTTTCAGGGTGACCAAGGTGCATGGGAAAGGCTTAACAAGGAGACAGGGTAAGAAGAATCGTGAATGTATTTGCAACTGGTCTGTTAAACCTCTCCAGGGATTTTTTTTTGGGGGCGGGAGGGTCTTCCTTGTGGTTTTTGCGTGCCTGGCAGTTCGGAGGCTTTGCGTGCCGGCGAGGCAGTGGGAAGAAGTGGCTTCAGAAGGGATCTGGTTCCTCGCGTCGAGAGCTGGAAGCGGGCAAGTCTGACGGGTGCAGCAGGTTAACCGTTGGCAGTGGCTGGAGCTCTGCAAGGTGCGTTAGGTCTTGAAGGACGCTTTCCAAAAACCCCTTTGTGTTTCTTTGAGCCTTTTTGTGCGCAGACTTACCTCATAGCAGAAAGAGCGACCCACCTCTTGCCCAGCGGGGTCCCCAAGTATTAGCAGAAGGTGCCGAAACCCAGGCAACAGCCAAATTACTCAGCAGTGCCCGAGCTACCGCATTGCTGAGGTGTTTGCTAAATTCTCCACAATTAGGTGTGCGCAGCACTGGAACAGGAGCATTTGTGGGTCTGTCAGCAGGGGCTGTACAGCCCTGCACTTTACCCTGGTCTTTTGCTGGAAGGCTGCGGCCCTCCTCCGTCTCTGCCGCTCGCTTTGCCGCAGCATTCCCTGCCGTAAGTCCCGGCACGGCAGCCCTTGCCCGGTCCGATCCGTCCCAGCATCCCGCAGTAGCTGCTTTTCGTGGCGCCAGGGCAGCTCACTCGCACCGCCTTGCTCTGAGCTGCAAGATTTTATAGAGTCGGGGAACCTTTTCCCCAAGCATCACACTGGCGACAACAGGTATTTCTAAGGCTAAGGAGGTTCACAGAGGCATCTGAACGCATCTTCAGCCCAGTCTACTCCTGAATGTTAAGCTCTTGTAACTCCTGCTAGCGTATTTTGGTGGCAGCATGTTCAGACAACCTGCGGGCTGAGCTGGAGACGAACCCGACCACGCTTCATGTGTTAGTTCATAAGCTTCCTTAACGCAATATTTGCTCGGACACAAGCACAGTAAGTCCACAGACAGATGCTAAAAAATAAACACGACTGTCAGCCTTTGTCCCAGCCCCTTGAGTCAATCAATACGTCCATTAATCTTTTATTCCAAAGCAAAGCCCTTAAACCGTTACTGTTTGTTTAGGTTTTAGTGTTGTTATTTTTAAATTCTCCCTCTTACTTGGAGGTGTTTATCTGGGCAGGGGCTTAATCCAGCAACACCCTGCAGGGCTCGGCCTTCCCCGACCCATCCCCGCAAAGGCACTGCCTGTTCCTGACGCCAAAATGGGGCAAAGTCTTTCCCGGAGGAGTAACGTGGTGATCTTGCCTGAGGTACTTTTGTCTGGTTTTGTGGCATAATTAGGTGTAACACTATTATGGCGTCGGGTTTAAATATGGGTAGGTGAAGCTCACGTGACCATTTGCTTTGTGCTGTCCTTGTCTTTGACTCGACCTAGACCCAGGCTTTGAGACTTGGTTCAGGCTTGGTTCATCTCCAGCTCTCTCTTAACGGTGCTGGCTGGTGTTAGCCAAGATTTGAGGAGATGTTGCTGGAGTTCTCCAGCCTTTGCAGGGCAAGTCTGGAGTGCTCTGAAAGCGTCGTTCTGGATTTACCACAGTAATGGTGATCCAGGAGCGGGATCATCGTCATAAGTGATGGGTGGACTCACCGAAGCGATGGAAGTTCCTGCCCATCCACTGCATCACTGTAATGGCCTCTCTCTGCTTTCTCAGCCCATCCCACAGAGCTTGACCTGCAACTTTAAACCAAGGTTTAGTGTGCCAGGAGTAAAGGTAGCCTCGGCGTGGGCTTGGGAGTGCAGGTGGGCAGGAGGCCAGAGCTTCTCCAGGCATGGTGGGACAGGGTGAAGCCCGGAGCCCCGGCTCCGCAGCTGAGTCAGGCGGCGGTTGCAAAACGCCCGGGTTGCACAACGCCTTTGCAGTGGAGACGGGGCCTGGAAACTCTGAAAGGACAGAAAAAAGCGGCTGGCTTTCAAAGCTGCAGACCAAGAGCTTCTTGCATGGGGGCTCCGGCTCCTTCCTTTCCCCTGTGTAATTGCTTCCACCTGAGCATGATCTGATGGTACATGGGTTTCCCTTGTCAAATGGAAGTACAGCATAGCTTAACCCTGTGTTTTCCGCCTTCTCAGAAGGAAATATGTGCAGAGGAGAAGGAGGGTCTGCTGTTAAATGTGCTTGTCCAGCACTGAGAAGGTGGGGTGCAGGTACACTGGTCTGATTTGGACCATAAGGTCTGCAAGCAAGAAAAGAGAAAGAAAAGCACAAGGTTTGGCGGGAGTGATAGCAACTCAGGTTAGCAATAGCGAGCCTGTTGAACCGTAGCTAAAGAGGTAAGGATTTGGTTCCTGGCTCTCACATGTATCTGCTGGACAAGTGCCTTGGTGCTCTGCTCCTAGTATATAACCTGGGGATAACAGTATTACTTCTTTCATCAATGTATGGTGAGATTTTCCTCTGCTCTCACCTCTGGTGTAGCGCGAGGGCACTTAAACTCCCTGCGGAGAGCAGGTTTCCAGGGGCAAGTCTCTGCACGGGGGCAGAAGGTCTTGGTTTTATGCAGGAGCAACAGTAACTTGCCCCAAACACTTGAATTAAGAGCCAGATGTTGCAGGCTCTTTCTGGCAGAGGAGCGAGGACCTCCTTACGCCAGTACCTGCCCAGAAGAAGAGGCAGCTCAATGCCAAGCAAAGGCAGCACTTCAGCCAGGGTGAGTGTCTCCGGCTGTCACCCTGCCTGGGGGACAGGAGCTCTGCCCAGCCTTTGTATGGGCTGTAGCAGTGCCATAAAGCAATGGCACGTCGGGTTCCCCGGTGGGGGATGGCCCCAGAGAAGGCAGCGCTTGGTCTTACTGGAGCCATGTGTGTCTAGGAGTCTATCATCTCCTGTCTGTCCTTCCGAAAAGAGGAAGAGGTCCCTGGACTGGTAATGGTGGTATCTGAGTGTGTGGCTGGTGGTGCCCCACAGTCCTGTCCTTGGGTGAGCACCCAATGTGTCCCTGGTGTGTGCGCCCTGGGTCGCTTGGAGTGGCACCAATGCCTGGAGGTATGGTGTGGGTGGCACCAGGGGACGAGGTGATGGTGTGCATCACAGGTCAGTGATGGATTAGGTACAGTCAGAGACCTTGCTATGGAATATCCTGCAGAGCAGAAATCCCAGGCACTGGGACTGTGTTCATACAGGAGAGATGTTGCAAACTCTTCGGTATTTCAGTGTCGCTGTGCTGCCTGGATTCCCCTGTGAGTGAACAGAGAGGTCCTTGGACCAGCAAAGCTGTTTGCCAGTCTGCAGCCACCCTTCCGCTTCTGCACAAACGGGAAAGATGCCGGGTGCTCAGGCCTGCTACACCCTTCCCATGGGACGCTCTGCCAGAAAACTGATGTTGTTTGTCTACAAGGAGAGAGAAGGAGAGCGAGCAGTGCAATGCAGGAGAAATACTCACCTATGTAACCTCCTTGTCCTGAAAAAGAAAAGTCTCTTGTCTTGTCCTAGAGCTGAAGAGAAGGAATAAATCGGCGTATTTCCTTCCATGCACACCCGTCCA